ACACACACACACACACGCACACGCACGTACAAAATTTGTATTTGTAACAAAAAATTTATTTTATATCTATATATAATATAATATATACGCATATGTATGTATATGTAGCCGAATACATGCATGTTAAATAAATCTATTAATTGTATAGCGATATTAACTAAGTCAAAAAGATAATTTCTTAGGATCTGAAAGGCTCAAGTCCTGAATCATTTTTTTTCTACAATGCTCAATGAAGCGACTACTGTAGTAATTATTGCTTCATTAAGCATTGTAGAAAAAAAGATTCTTAAATAGCGTTCACTGATCATATAATGCTATTTCTTATAAAAAAATTAAGTCAAAAATTAATAATTCTAAGGATTCCCAGTAAATTTCAATTTTCAACAATTTGAAAGAAATAGGCTAATGGGAATCGGCGCGATAATTGTTGCGCAATGATAAATCTAGATTTTTTAGGTTCTTATAACACCACGTGGTCGCATATCGCGTGCATCTCCGTAGCTCAGAACTTAGTAGTAATCTAATAAATCGATGCTTAAAGCATCAAGTCCTATGAATTCTTTCTCGAAACTTCGAGACAACTAATAAATGCTAACTTGCATCTATATGAATCTGTAAAGAATTTATTGCGAAAAAATATCACCCCATGATCTCAGTCAGAAATCGAATCCGGATCTCCACGTTTGCCGGACGGGCGTCCTACCTTTAGATCACCGAGGCATGTGATAATATTCATCGCAATAAACAATCTAGCGCGTTTTCAAGCCGTGTTCTAATATATTCTAATATATACATATGTTTTTACACATATTTTCAGCCCGCGTAAATTCAATTAATAATTCTAAGGATTCCCAGTAAATTTCGACAATTTGAAAGAAACAGGCTAATGGGAATCGGCGCGATAATTGTTGCGCAATGATAAATCTATTATAGATTTTAAGTCAAACAGTTCTGAATTATTTTTCTGTATAATGCGCAATAAAGCAGTAGTGATTGCTTCATTGAGGATTATAGAAAGAGATTCTGAACTTTTCGACTCATTTTTTTTACGAGAAAGCTGTATAATTAGTGGACACTATTTAAGGTACACCATATGTACATACATATATAGGGTATATCTTAAATATAATATATACATATTAGGTACTCTCTTTTTTCACAGAAATCGATAGTAAGAAGTTGGAAAAAAAAATTATTATTCAAAGTCTATGTAAACTATCTAATGGTGGCATTTTGGTTTTTCGGAAATTACCGGAAAAATAAACTTGAGTCATGTATGAAATTTTTAATAGAAACATACATTATTGTATCGTTGGATAAATTTTTTAAAAATAAATAAGTCTTGTTTAAACTTTTTTTATATTGTTTCCAGTTTATTAGAAAATAAGCAAATGTTATACAATATGAGTTATCCATTTTTCTAGACCTTTAAAATTATTTAAATGAAAGATTTTAAGAGAACAAACCATAGGCAATGAATCAGATGATGGTTTGTGCCTTTAGAAATAATTTGAAGTGGAGAAAATTCTAGTAAATTTTTTAATTTTTAATTGAAATATAAGCGAGTAAAATATTATTTAATTAATTTGACAAGAAACCTCTTTAAATAAAAAATTTTTTAATATCTCTTATTATTAACAAAAAAGAATATTATTTCTTATTGGAGCATTTACTTAATTAAAAGAAAAATAAAAGGAAACTCTTTCAAATTTTTCTCTTAAATGCGTTCAAAATGCATATTTAAATTAGGATGAAGATATTTTAAACATCTTTTTTTCCATTTTTTATTGAGAAAATGGGCTAATTAAAAAATAATTTTTTTGTTAACCATTTGAGATATTAAAATTTTTTTATTTAAAGATGCTTTTTTTCAATAGACTTATCTAATATCTTACTTGTCTATGTTTCAATTTAAAATTGAAGAATTGACTATAGTTTTTCTCACTTCCTTTATAACTAAAAACACAAATAAGTACATCATCCAGCTCGTTACATAGAACTTAGCCTTAAAATTTTTATTTAAATTTTCTCGATAATTTTTGATGTATGGAAAAATGAATGACTTATAATCTATGATATTTCCTCATTTTTCTCCGATAAACCGAAGAAATAATGTAAAAAATGTTTAAATAATAACGCAGCTAAACCGTTATAATAAATAACATAAATAAGCAGAGAAGTGTTAAATACGATCGAGGCTGGATTTTGCTTCATAATATATATACGTAAATTTTAAATGCATTTTCAGTTATATAAACTGCACGCCGATTACTGTCAGAATTGCAACGCAATCATAAACCGTTTATGATCAGTTTATAATTGCGTTGCAAGTCCGACAGTAATCGGCGCACAGTTTATAGAACTGAAAATGAATTTAAAATTTACATAGAAATATTATTAGGCACTAAGTTCTAGCTTCGACCATATTTGACGTTTCTCTATCCGTAAAAATTGCTTGTTGTTAAAAGATTTATAAGATACTCCACTCCATTTGTTTTTATTTAAAATTTCAGACTTGACTCAAATTCATCTTACTATTAATTTCCGGAAAATCAAAATATCATCTTCAGATAACTCAGATAAGCTAAAAAATGATAATAAAAATTTTTACTCCGACTTCCGACAACTATCCGTTTCCGAGAAAAAAGGATGATCCGATACTATAATATAGTATAGTAAAACATCCAGTATTATATATAATATACACGCGCCTATGTAGGGGAGAGTTGCTGAATGCGTACCACTTAAGATATTTTTGGTTATATTTCACATTTGGTACTATTTAGAACTATTGCAAACGAACATTGAAAATTGTTGCTTGATGTTCAAGGCACCTAATATTACATGTTAAATCTTTCATTAATAGCAAATTAATTTGTTCTAAGCTTTTTTGTAACATGCTGTCAAAAGCACGATTCAACAAACCGATCGCCTAAATCGTATCTGTAAGTTTTATTAATAGTACCTCCTTCTATTGAATTTATGAATGAAAATAATTAAAAACACAAGATTGATAAAAGAATTATGAATTAATACCTACTTTAATTGTTTATCAAACAATAGCTGTTTTGCTTACGTAACACGGTTTTTTCCTCTACAGTTTTGCTACAGAACAACTTCGATTGTGTTAAAACAAATAATGTTGATTATGTCATGTGGTCTAAAGATAAAGATACATTAGTGTTCCTAAATTGTACCGATATAAGAACTCTTATGCTTGGTTAGCTTAGGTACGATTTAGGAAACTTGACAGAGATGATAAAGATATTGATATAATTTTATTGATATAATTTTTATAATAATTGTAAATATGTATATACAATGAATGTAAAATATGTTATCATAAACTTTCTTTTAGGAAAAAATAACGATTCAATTAAAAATTGCATGATTACATTAGTATTAGCTATATAAATTGATCAAAAATTTACATCAATTGTATTTGATTTTTTTTAATGTTGATAGCATGCACAAAACAAGATGTAACCTGTTCATTTTTTGTCTATTTTATATATTTCTTATTTACTTCATATTTTTGTTACTATTGTAAATGTTGCTTCTATTAAGTGGAATATAAAATATTGAAGAGGTACGCTTTATGAGACCGGTACGTATTTGGCAACTCTCCCCTATAAGTATTTATCTTTCTTGTAAATTTTACATAATTATTAATCTAAAATTTAAATAGTCATAACTTAATGAAAAAAAGTCATACGATCACGAACTAAAGTTCGTTTGAAATCTCTTGAATTACATTTTCAGATGCCGTTAATTAAGATTATATTTTCAGGTAAATTGCGGTTTATTTAGAAACCAGTTTTCTTTTGCCACAGAAAATATTAAAAATGTCAAAAACATCATTTTTGGCCTTTTTCATTTCAATTTATTCAAAATCCTAACGCTAGACAAATTCTGCCAATAATATCGTGTTCAGCGCGAGAAAAATCTTCGGAAAATGTATTATCATACTTCAGAGAGAATTTTGTTGTAACACTATGTTACAATATTACAATATTTCTTTTTCTCTTTCTTGTTAGATCTTATTGCGAAATAAATAAACTCGCATTTCAGACTCCGGCGAGAGCAGCGTCATTTCCCCGGGTCTGCCAGAGCGTTACAGTCCTCTGGGGGCGACGGGATCCACGTCCAGCCACGATCCTTACGCCTCCCGATCGGTCCAGGAGTGCCCGGTACCCCTCTGCAGAGGAATGCCGACGGATTTCCCTCTAGCCCGATCACCGTACCTGACCGCGCTCGGGAATGGTCATCCGCATTTGCTGGGTCAGGTGCAGCATCAGCAGCAGCAGCAACAGCAACAGCCGCAGCAACCGCAGCACGGCAGCAAACCGCCGCGTAGTCTCGGACTGATATGTGTGGTCTGCGGCGACACTAGTTCCGGCAAACATTACGGGATACTCGCCTGTAACGGCTGCAGCGGCTTTTTCAAGAGGAGCGTCCGACGAAAGCTGATATATAGGTGAGTCGAAGTTTCAATAAACATTATCAGTTAGAATAATAAAATAAAGATAGGCTCAATAAAGTAACAAAATAAAAATAAATAAAATGTGGACTATGAGCCAGAGCTGAATATTTAATGCCCTAAGATTAGTTAAAGTATATTAAAAAAATATAATCAATAACACATACGTTTCAACCTACATCAGATCATTCTCAATGTTACAAATTAAAGCTAGAAATTTAAACGAAAACCAGTTATTGTAATATAAAGGATCTGTACATTATTAAATGTTGTAACAATATCAAAAACGGAAATTCAAGCGCAGAATAATTGCAATGGACAGTCGTCGTGAAGAAAAAGACAAAACGTACATGGTCCTCCCAAATTTGAAGCAGAGACCAGAGGCGAAATTCGTCATTATAAAATTGAAAGTCAGTAACATTGTAAAAGATCTAGTCGCTGAATCCAGGAGTCCGTACATCTTCACAATTTTTTTTCTTTTTAGACTAAATTAACATTTTTAGAGATTGTAACAGCTTTGAGTTATATGTCTAAACTTATGAAAGTCAAAATGGTATAAGTCATCAGTTAGATTCGTAGAAACGTCTAGAAATAAATTATTATAAAAAATATAGAAAGTTTTTAATGATTTATTTTGACTTTAAATTAAATGTATTAAACTTGCATATAGAAACGTATACGACTACATTCACAAGGTTTCGCAAGTTTTCTGAAATCTGCACTAAATGAGCTCGGGTTACTTTAAATTTAGGCAAGTTGCGCGCGCGCCTATCTACACAGGGAATATAATTGGAATTAATTATTATTCATCCAACGGCGTCTTAATTCCTTACATAAACATAATTCTAATCACAATGTAATAAGCAATATAGATATAAAATCGTCTTCATTGCAATTACGAGTAGAATTTTAATCGATCAAGCGTTGAGCAAAAACAATGATTTTGTTTTCTACAATACGGAAGATTGTACGATATAAGAACAGCATTTGTGCAAGGTACTGCATGCAAACGGATAACAATATTCGTCACGGTCAAACGTCCCTCGCGCGCGATAGTTCATCGACGCACTCGTTAACAGTCCGGCAACTCAATCCGTGATGGGGAAAGAATTGTAACACCGCACGGATGGCGGTGTATGTATCAGTTTCGGCTTTCGGGGACGGTCGAGCACGACGCCGCTTTGCATTTCGGTCACGAAACCGAGCCTGTTCATTTTTCAAAAAGCACGCTCGCACGGAGGGTTAATAGCTTGCGTATCGAGTGCGCTGTGGCGCGCCTGCGTGTCCCTGCAGGCGCGGATCGGGCGGGACAAGTGAGACCGGGACGACCGATTCCGACTCGCGCGCGCGAGAGGGATCCGATGGAGATGGATGGTCGTTCCCGGGGGACGGTAATAGTTCCTCGTACGCGCCACCGGCTTTGCCACCGATCCGGATACCCGGGTATAACTCGTCGCCGATGCGGGGCGCGGCGGCCATAGCGGCAGCTCTCAGGGTTAGGCTCTCGATGGGCCCCCGGCGGATTCGACATTATACCATCCCGCGTTGTGGCCCGGGCATTAAGATGAGTTTACTCTACTTGGCCCACATGGCTCCGCTCTCGATGCTTAACTCGATATTAACCCCGGAATATGAGCGGCCATCGATAATCTCTCTCTTCAATTTCAAGACTGCATACATATAGGATTCTAATTAAAATATAAAGAAATCTATAAAACCTAAAGCATTGTAAAATTAACTAAACAAAAGTAATGATAATCAACGGTCAAAGACGAACAATTCAAGGTGTTAAAAACTTTATTCTTCAATTTTCTAACATAAAACGTAACTATGTCGTAACAAAACTATACGATTGAGAAAGATCCAAGTATAAGAATCGAAACTAGTTTCGTTACGTTTTATGTTAGAAAATTGAAGAATAATATTTTCAACACCTTGAATTGCTTGTCTTTAGTCGTTGATTACCATTACTTATTGTATTACAATAACGAGCGGGTTATAATTTAATTTAAAAAACTTGCTTGCAAATATTATTGTAATAAAATTGTTCTGATAAAATCAAAAGTTACATAGAATCACAATAAAGCCAAAAATCACTTTCATTTGTACAACATATGTATATTCATAATATGCATACTTGACTGATAAAAATGTTTAATAGGAAAAAAGACACGTTAGATAACGAAAAAAAATAATGTTTAGTAAAAATCAGATATGTTATCTCAAGCGCCGAATGCTCTCAGTTTTCGCTTTTAGACGTGCACGACAGAAGCGAGGAAAATGCTTTGTTGTTGAAGCAGCGACATTTGCGTGCAAGAGTTCAAGTGCGAGCCCCGCGGGAGCTCCATGCGAACATTTCGGCCGTTCTTATCCACGCACGATGCACTTAATTGCATCTAACCGATCCGTGAGGATTTGTGCTAATCCGGCGATTGTGGACGGCGCGCCGTCGCAGCGCATCGCATCGGGACGCATCTGTCGCATCTCGTTCCCCTCACCGCGGATAATTGGTTATCTGTGCGGAGGCTCTTCAGTCTTTACCGCGTTATAGCTGCCCGACGAGAGCGAAACGGCATTCTCTCGGTTTTCTACTTTCGCAAACGATAAAATTAAACGTCGACCACTGGATGTAGATATTGCTTACTTGTGCAATACACACGATAACATATAAAATTTTAAGAAAATGTACAATTGAATTTAATAATTTTTTGACGCTTTAATACTTTTGTAAACAAATGTCATATTTTGCAATATTTCATTTATTTTAATACATAATTTACTTGAAAAATCAGCTCTAAATTCATTCAAAATTTACATCTTTTATATTTTACGACTTATTGAAGCAACAATACAGTCGAACCTCGATAATAATTCGAATCTCAAAAAAACAGAAAAACACTTAAAATTATAGAATTTTCGACTTATCGAAATTTGAGTAAAAGAGAGTTAACATATAAAAATTCGACTTATGGAGGTACGAGAGTTTATAATTTTTCGATTATAATGGCTTTTAAACGAAAAAAAATCAATATTTGACAGTGAATTATTTATTGCGTACATATAATAAATGTAATCATAAAACAAAATATCAGACTGTTACTCATAGTTACACATAGCTACAATTTCGAATGATAGAGGCAGCGGCAATAGAAGTTCGACTTATAGAAGTGAACTTCAACTTGTAGAGGTCTGGCTACTTTAAAATTCGAGTTGCAGAGGTAAAATAATACATCTAAATACCTGACAAATAATTTGAGTTAAGATTATAGATTTATTTCAATTTGTAGAGGTTTTCCGCAGTGGAGCGAAAAGGAATGAACAAAATTTTTTTATCTTATAGAGGTTTTCGAGTTGTAGAGGTTTGAGTTATCAAGGTTCGACTGTATATAAGGAATTGTTATTTTGTAGTCATCAGCTTAATTGTTAAATCATTAAATGGCAATTTTAAAAAATCGCACTTATTATGCTCGTTCTTCCCACAAAGTACACTCGCCGCGTATGCGAGAATAAATATCGGAAACTTTCTGCCAGCGATTGTCGCCAGGCCATTGTTAACGCGATTTTAACAAACGTCAGTCACAAGGAGCCGAGCGCTATCTTGTCCTGAGGCGGTGTAACACGAAGGACGAACGTCGACCGAACCGGTCTCCCGGCGTGGTGCCGCCGCGTCAGCGGGGGGTTCGTCGTGCAAATTGATTTGCGTTCACACCCCAGCGGATCCGCAGGGCGCGAGAGAGACTAGCGCCCCTTCCGCGCGCGGACCCCTCTCCTGTATTCACCCTTCAGAAGCACATCATACATTTATTTACGCATCTCTCTGTTCTACGAGCGGCCGGCATTGTTCGCCTCATTGAATTACCGGAAGCATGTGCTGCCGGTTATCACGCCCGTCGGCCGCCCTACTTCGCGTTGTCGGATGCACGTTGTGGATGCGCTGGATATGTGTTGTTTATTGCTGATATCGTCAGCGAAGCGTCAGGCTCGTCGTAACCCTTTAACCAATAAGTCTCCGTTAAACGATCTTTCTGATGTAACGTGATGTTATGAATGCTAAGAGAAAATAAACGACGCGTATTAAGCCGTATAATACATTGAAGAAGATTATAAATAATTGATGTAAAAAATACAGTTTTTATTACTACTAAAGAGCACAAAGGTGAAAATTCATAATTTCTTTGAACAATCCACTGCGAGAAGAAGACAATCACATTATATTATTTATTATTATTCTTTGAAAATCATATAGAATTATATATTTGATAAATTCTTAAAATTCTTCTTATCTTGTCAAAATTCTTGTTTTCGCTGGTAATAATAATCATTCTAAACTTGCATGGCGGAACTCTAACGAGTTCGTCATCCTTTGCAAGATCGATCGATCCTTGACGACGACGTTTCATCAACAATCGTCGTAACTCCGTAGCTTCTTGTCCCTCGCGGGAAGTCGGAGAAATTTGGGCGCACTTGTCGGAAATCCAGGGTGCGCACTCTTCGGGAGATGGTGTTAAATTCGATTACTTTCATTGTTAGAGATAACCCGGTTATCCCTCCGAGCTGACTAACGTAAAGAGGCGACTGTCCGGGGTCACGTACCTTCTTCTTATCCCTCTTAATCTCGTTCAATTCAACGACAGCGTCCCCGCCACTTCGTTGCCCCAACCTTAAAGGAGTCCTATTTTCCTCTCCCTGTTACACAGCACGGATATAAAACCGCACCGCTATGATTCGAGACCGAAAAATTTTTACGCAATGCAGTTCAAATCCCTAATATCACTGCGATCATTTTCTTCTTGTTAGTAACGCTACTTGCGAGATGGAAGATTTCAAAGTTTACATGTCAAAAGTTCTCGTGCGTGCATGGTAGGACATAATATTTGTTGACATAATAATATTTATTTATAATAAATTAAACGAATGTTATATCTTTTTTATACAGATGTCAAGCTGGTACCGGAAGGTGCGTTGTGGACAAGGCGCATCGAAATCAATGTCAGGCTTGTCGTCTAAAGAAATGTATGCAAATGGGAATGAATAAAGATGGTGAGTGTAACATATGTATTTTCAACTAATTTACGCAAAAAAAATCGAAATTTAAAATAAATTCAAAAACAATTAAACAAGTTAAACGGAAAGAAAGAAATAGGGATGAAGAATCAAGTAAAATCAAGAATTATGTATAAATATAAAAGCATTTAGTTTTTGTAAATCACAGTCGAACTTTTTAGTTTGAGATTTTTATCTAAAGGTTACAAGATACAAAGAATTTTAAAAATTATGATAAATAAAATACAAAATATACAATATAATAAAAACATAATAAAAAATATTTAAAAAAGAATATACATATGTCACAGTTTGTTAAAAAATTGCATTCTTTTGTTGAGTACAATATGTAACAATATTAATAAAAAATAAGGATTAAGAATTTATCATAACGAGGTCCGTATCGCACGATAAATTTCAAATAAACGTACGCGATTTTCTGGATAAAAATCGACGCGTTGTTGCGACGCGATTCGATTCAATCGGAAGGATCTCCCCTTACGACATCGAGTTCGGCAATAAGAAAGTTATCAACGAGACGGCGCTGAGGGTCGAAGCGAGAACGCAGGAAGGGAAGAACAAGAGGAAGACGATGAGACAGGTGCGCGCCCGTGTCTCGCCGGGAGGCATTAAGAGTTGAATCGGAGGCTGTTCGGAGCACAGCCAGACTTCCGCTTGTACAAGCTCGCCCCGCCTTTATCCAGTTATTTATGTCGCGAACATAAAGGGTCCGCCCGAATTCCACTTCCCTGCCGCTGATTGATTCCGGCATTACCCACGAAAATGGATAATCCGCTGGATCCATAACTCCCATTCGGCGACAATGTCTCGGGAACTCGCAATGGGATCCCAATATCTTTGCGACGGTGATCGACGCGAGGCGATACCAACATGTCATTCTGATCGATTGATCGACCAATTCTTTCTTTTTAAGGAAAATATTAAAAGAAAGGGCGAGAGAGAGAGAAAGAGAGAGAGAGAAAGCAAAAAATTAAACCTCTAATATATAATAACATTATTAAGTAAACAATGCGACAAGTAATTGATAAAACGTGTTAGTAACTTGAACATAAAAATGATGCGTAAAATAATTAAGGGTCCATTCTACCTTGTGGCTCGAAAAAGAAAGAAATGTGATCAAGATCACACTTCATTGTTTTTACATTTTATTTGTACTTTTCTCTTTAATTTGTAATGTTTTAAAGTCAATTTATTGACTATAAGTCCTATGCAAAGTTCCGGTGAAGATGCTTTTCCGACTTGAACATGGCGCCATGCATGAAGGTCGCACCAGTCATCTAAAATTGTTAAACCAACGTTTTTCCTGTTCAAAAAAAATGTCTCTATGGAATAGACTACGATTATATCAATATCAATGATACTTTTTTTTAATCGCACACGGAAAGAACGATTTTGCTGGAAGACCAAAAAAAATCTGAAAATAATTTTTGTTAGGTCATCATCAAAATAATTTTGTTCGAAAGTCTAACTGATTGCTAAAATATCAAAACTTTTTATAGCAATGCTTATTATTTTTGAGTTTCCGACAAAATATTTTGATGATGACCTAACAAAAATTATTTTCAGATTTTTTTTTGGTCTTCCAGCAAAATCGTTCTTTCCGTGCAAAAATAAGAGCAAAATTTAAGACTAAAAATCAATTTTTTTTTTAAATGGCCGCCATTTTGTTAACTTTTATAAAGACATTCTTTTTAAACAGGAAAATCGTTGGTTTAACTCTTTTAGATGACTGGTGCGACCTTGACTACTTCACCCATGGCACCATGTTCAAGTCGGGAAGACTTCTTCACCGGAACTTTGCATAGAACTTACAGTCAACAAATTGACTTCAAAAAAATTACAAATTAAAGAGAAAAGCAACAAATAAGATGTAAAAACAATGAAGTATGTGATCTTGATTACGTTTTCCGAAAAAATTCCCAAAGATCGTCTTTTTTTCGGGCCGCAAGGTAAAATGGACCCTTAAAAACAGGGTTGTGCATCTACGCGTAAAATATAATACTCTACGTTTACGTGTAAACAACGTAAACTATTGTAAAAGTGTCATCTATGTAGACAGTCAGTAGACTATATATTTATTCATTTAATAAATATATATAATTTAACATTTATGTAAAAAAAAAACTATTATTTGAATAAGAAAAATTCTCTGGTTGCATTTTTAATCTTAATCTCGTAGTTAAATTAATGTTCAAAATACATCAAGAATATTCTAAAGATGTCGTGGTATCTTTAGCCTGTTCCTATGATACATTTTGAACATTTCTATTGTGGGTAGAGACTGCCTTATAATTTAATTCTTTTATATTCTATATATTAGTGATACGATTTACAATAGTCTACATGGTTTACAAGTCTAAATTGTCTATGCAACAAAAAGACCATGTAAACATCACGTAGATTTCACGTAAATAATCCGTGTAGACGTAATCTTGAAATCTACGGCACAACCCTGCTTAAAAACGACAAAATACACACACAAACCGTAAATAATATATATATATATATATATATATACATATATATGTATATATATCAGCATTACAATGAGCTATCAAGTATATCGGAAACTGAAATTCATGTAAGTGCTTGACAATAAGATTCTTACAATTTCTCGTAAATCCGCGCTCTTCGGATTTACGCGGGGAAGGCGACCGAAATAATTGCGACAAGCCGTATTACCGCGCGTGAAAGGCACGCTCTTGTGTGACAAGCACCGAAAAGGAGACTCGTGGCGTCCGCCGTGCTTTAATGGACGCGCGATTAGGGCACTCATTGCCGCGCCGTTGCCGGGCGCAATTTTTCCCGGCTTCCCTTTTAGCAGCGGCCCGGCGACGGGCGCGCAGTAATTTCGTAATAATAAAAAGCGTGTCGGCTCGCTTTACCTCCGGCGTACGGCCTGCTGGGCGGCTTAATGGGGTCCTCTTGCTTCGTCGGACCTCTCCATTTCTTCTCTCTCTCTCTCTCTCTTTCTTTCTCTCTCCTTGCCGCTCTCTCGCAGTCCTCGCGGCATGTCTCACACCAGGAAAAGATAAACGCCCCGTACGCTCTGTTTAATTTGCATGCACCTCGCTGCGAGAGGCCGGCCGCCCTGCTTTCTGTCCACCCCTTTCCTCCGATTTCTTCTTCGCTCTTTTAATCGACCCTTTGGTCACTCTTGTGTAGGTACATTCTTTATCAAGATTTTTGTTTAATTCTTAACGCAGTGGACAAAAAATCTTCTTCACAATTCTAACTTATAAATTCACTATCGTGTTCTCGTAAATTTGTTCTCAATATAATCATGGAGTAAATATCACAACAGATAAGAAAATAGTGCCATTCACATAACATTAGCATATGATGCAAATCTTAAATATGATAAAATGTAACGAGATTAAAAAACTACGACTATTTTTATGTATGACTATTTTTCTGTAGTTCGATTTTTGCAATGACATTACATATGTGTTATAAAAGTCGATCATTATCATTAGCTAACAGTCATTAAAAGCATAATACTCTTGCTCATGTCCACAAGTATGATTCCATTGTTATCCCTTGTAACATTTTTTACGCGGATTCAGTCGACCGTGCAGATTGTTTCTCTCATTTGCATCGACGGCGCACCACGGGAGAGCCGCCCTTTGCCTTACATCATCCCGCTCGTCTCTTTCTGGCTATCTCCATCGGCGAAGTCGCGAACGGGCGCAGGACGGCACCCCCGAAGGGTTGCGAACCGGGTCTCCGCGTGCGCATCGGGCGGTCGGCCGCGCACGTTGCATACGTTTATTTCTTCCAATTAACCCTTCGGGGATTCGTCGAAGGCCACGCGACTGTCGCTAACGACCGCAGTGTTTACGGCAGCGACGAAGAGAACGAGTACCGCGCGCGCCGCGGTAAACCGCACGAGCGTGAGCTTGCAAATGCGCTTGATTGGCTCACGTGAATAAAAACGACGCGACGCTCTCTCGCGTTAACCCTTGCGATCCCAATCGTTTATTTCTGCAAGTTATTTACGGGACATTTTAGAAAAAAGAAACGCGGCACAAGGTGTATCCCGGCCGTCCCCATGTAATACTTTTTTCACATAGGGCGACATGGATTATTTAGATTTTCTTTAACAAAAGCGCAGAAAAACCAGTTCATGTTTTTGTACGTGATATAAAAGATGCGAAGGAACTGCGAGCGATTAGATTGCGTATCTACATAAATGAGATTTTTTATCACTGACTTTCATACCATTACTTTTATGTTGTGAAAACGTACTCATATTGACATCTTTATTTTGAGAAGTTTATATACACATATACAGAGTTGGACATATTTTAAACACTTGTATTTAAAATACAGTATTTGAAATACAATTGTATTTGTATTTTGTATTAAAAACAAATTATTTAATGTATTTTGTATTTCAAATACAATTTTAATCTATTTTGTATTCGAAATACTAAAGAAACTATTGATAAAAATCCTTGATAAAAATTAATAAGTAACTTAAATTTTTCTCATATGATGATTAGCGAGTAATTATGTTCGTCAAATTTTAAATATGTCAAGTCATCAAAGTCAAATTTCGTAATCCACATAAGTAAATAGATTTCTCGTACGGTTGATACAGGACAATAAAACTGTTAAAGAATGTAAAAGAGTAAAACTACTTTTCTTTCTCTCTTTAAAAATGGTAAGGTGACTGTTGGAAGAAAGGGGAAAGGGAGTTTAACATTATATTATTATCATAATTAAAAGATTAAATTAAAAAGTATTTCATATTTCAAATAAAAACTTTTACAAGTATTTTGTATTTTGTATTTCAAATTGAAAGATTGAAAATATTTTATTTTTTGTAATTCAATTATTAAGATTGACAGTATTTTGTATTTTGTATTTTAAGTACTTTAATGATGTATTTTGCCCAGCCCTGTGTATATAGTGTACTTATCATTAACATTGTAATAATCATCATCGTCATTATTATATATCAAGAACCTTTT